GGAACATTTCGTTAGAAACAAAGATAAGAGTGCTGAGATCTTATGCAATATCGGTTCGCCTATCCGGAAGTCAATGCTGGACAATTGTATCATGGATGAAGAAAAAATTCGAAACAACGTATATATTGTTTTACAGCAGCAAGGTTACAATCCCATAGACTGCCAATGTATTTTTATATAGAAAAACTATCAACAATAAAATTTCATAGTAAATACAACAACATTAAATTTATAGCAAAATTAATAACAGTACAATTTTATAGTAAAAACAACAGTACAATTTTATAGTAAAATTACCAACAGGCCAATTTTATAGTAAAAATTTCAATTTTATAGTAAAATTACCAACAGTCTAAATTTTATAATAAATTTGCCAACAGTAAAATTTTATAGTAAAATTACCAACAGTACAGTTTTATAATAAAATTACCAACAGTACAATTTTATAGTAAAATTACCAACAGTACAATTTTATAGTAAAATTACCAACAGTACAATTTTATAGTAAAATTACCAACAGTACAATTTTATAGTAAAATTACCAACAGTACAATTTTATAGTAAATTTACCAACAGTACAATTTTATAGTAAAATTACCAACAGTACAATTTTATAGTAAAATTTCCAACAGTACACTTTTATAGTAAAATTGCCGACAGTATAATTTTATGGTAAAATTACCAATAGTACAATTTTATAGTAAATTTGCAAACATTATAATTTTATGGTAAAATTACCAACATTGCAATTTTATAGTAAATTTGCGAAAAGTATAATTTTATGGTAAAATTACCAACAGTACAGTTTTATAATAAAATTACCAATAGTACAACTTTATAGTAAAATTACCAACGAAATGTTAGAGAAAAATGGAAAAAAGGCGGGGGTATTTAGATTAAGAAAGAAATATTTAAAATTTCGGGAGCACATGAAGAGTAAAAATGTTTTCGATACTGAAAGGACATATTCCTGATGGCAGTAGGGACAAAGGAAAGTATCGAATAAGATAGGTAACAAGTTTGTGCAAATGGTTTGCAGAAAAAGCGATTAGGAATCCTAGCAAAAAGACTAATCTTAATCAGAGCTACAAAACGACAGAAAGTTGTGGAGAGTCATTATCGGCCATGTCTCGAAGGGGTTATAATACAGAGAATAACGACGAGTAAATAAAATGAACAATTTATCCAGAGGAATGAATACTCGTCTTTCGCTGAAGAATGAAAGCTAACGTTCAAGCATTAGACATATTTGTGTCCTTGCTTCTCTAAGTCATCGTTTTGAAACCTGTACTGCATTAATAGCGTTAGCGTTGTTTTCTGTTTATAAATCTTCAGAATTGTCTATCTTTTATAATTGAAAACAATGGCATCTCTTCCGAAATTCTGGAGAAATACTCTCAATAGAAAGTTATATGTCGAGATTAGCTTGTTGCCTTTAACTATTTTCTCAGCTATCATCCGATTATCAACTGACAAGTACTAGTGAGAAAGAATAACAACTATGTAACTGTCCCACTTGAACAGAAACGCTCTCAGTATTACCTACTTGACAAAAGAATTCACGATTTTTAAGTAGTTTTTCGTGTAGAGGGAGTGATTGTCATTTATATTGTCAAGAAGGGAATTAGGATGGAGTAAAAACAAAGTCAACAGAATGGTAAATAACGCGAACGACAAGAAACGTGAAACGGCATTAAATTGAATCCATATTTTTTAAAAAAAAAATTGTTTCAAGATTATTTTGTATTAGTTTATTTTCTGCGCAATCCTGACGTCAGTCGCAGAATATCTGCCCATTTTTATAACTATGCTTAGTCGAAAATGCTTGTCTTACACTCAGATTCCTCAGGCATATCTCCCATGCCGTGCGTAATTTCTGCTATTTGGAGACGTCAGTTAGACACAATATAATTTTGTTTGGTATTAAAAAAATATTATATAACTAGATTCTGATGTATAGTGCTGTTCAATAAAAGTGACTCACCTGATTTTTTTTACTATATGTTCTCTTCTCCGATGAAACGAAAGTTGAGCTAAATTCAAAGGATAAGTGATCTAAAATGATTTGAAAGCTCTTTGAATTTATCAGTAAGAACTATCAAGCATCCGTTCAGTATAATGTTCTGGGAATGCTTTCCTTTTCATGGAACTGGTTTCTTAAAACCTATTGAAAAGACCCTCAGGAGCGAGCAGTACAAGAGAATTTTAGAGTCTTGTCTGCTCTCTTCTACTGAAAGGGTGCAAATCGACCCCACCAAGCTTAGTTTTTATGAAGGATAATGCTCCCTGTCACAAATCAAAATTGATCAAGGAATACTTTGATGAGAAGCAGGTGAGTGTTATGACCTCAAACCCATAGAAAACTTATGGAACATGTTGCTCAACTGCTTTCTCGAGAGCCTGTATTTTATAATGCTCCATAAATGAAGTAAAAGAGGGGAAATAAAAGAATAAACGAGAGAAAAATAAAGAAATAAATCTGGGGAAACATTTTTCCAGTAAACTTCGGAAAACAAAATAACAGTTAAAGAGAAAAAACTTTTGGGTAATTCAATCTTTTCTTACTTAAATGCGTGCTTTCCTTCACATCGTTGTTTGATATTGTACATCTTGTTAAATACATATTTTATGTGTAACAATGTCGTTTGGTTATCCTTTTCTACGTGAACCATGTTTCCTAATCTAAAGTAAAATTGATGTGGTGAAGTCCGCGTTGTCTCTGATTCGCAATTCTCACTTTGGTCTCAAACTTTTGCAAACAATCATGCATTCTGGAGATTTACTTGACCTCCCCACTGAGTCAGGTTGTGACACAAGGTCAGTTTTTAACGTCGGGACCCGAATGTTTTCACTCGGGCCGCTGGTCCAAACTGGTCTTAGCTTGTCAGAGCTGGTCTAAGCTAGTCATAGCTGGTCTTAGCTGTTCATAGCTTGTCCAAGCTAAGTCAGAGCCGGAGCCAGTCCAAGCTAGTCTTTGCCGTAATACCACCAGCCTAGGGGCGAGCGCTGTGCCAGGTAGGTATTTGACAGACCATACTTAAAAGTATGATCTGCCAACCATGCATTCTGTATTCTTGCAGTTGATGTTTAATCCTTTCTCCTCGCTTTCCTTCACGATCTGCTGTAGGAGTTTTTGCTGTTTTATTTCTGTATCTGCTATCAACACTGTGTCATCTGCATATCTTATGTCAAGATTGTGACCACCAATTATGGATCCTAGTAGAAATTTTAATTCTCTCAGAATCGCATCGATGTATAAGTTGAATAAGTCCGCTAAGAAGACACAACTTTGTGTTACACCTCTTTCTATATTTGCATATCTACTGAACACATATCCTATCTTTAAGCAGGGGGTTTGCTAACAGGATAGGTTCTAGATTATTCTAGTATCCTTCCCAAATATGTAATGGTTAATGAGTAGTTCCAACTTCGTCAGAAATAAATCGTTGTAAACAAATAAAATTACAAAAAAGTGGGGATATCGCTTTCCGAGGAAAGTATATTTATATGACTTTATCGTCATGCCACCCACGGTATTTTAAAGTGTTCAAACAATGGAATATTAGAACCGAACTCATTATTTCCTTCATTATGGTCACTACTTACTCTTTCATGCCGCCCACGATATTTTAAAGATTTCAAGCTATGGCCGGGCATTCACAAATTTTCTAATAATTCTTCAGTTTTTCTGTATGTCTTAGATGAGGTATTGTAACCATTGTTCAGACTTTTCACCTCATCTTTGTTGCAATACCCATTGCGTTTCGACCTGTGTACTCTCCGGCCTTTTTCAGATGATTAGAATTTCGAACCGAACCCTTTATTTCGTTCACTGGGGTAGATAGTTCCAGTTCCACGTGCCATGCCTCTTACAGGATATCTTAGTTTCAGTTATTTCCCTCTAGTAACTCAACTCGCCGAGTTTTTGTTAACCCCTGCTGTTGTCAGGTATTGAACTGACAACCCTTTCGATCAAGTTACGGAATTACTTCAACCAACGCTTTTATCCACTGGGGATAACAGGCCACATGCCCCAGTGGATAAAGTAATCCACAAAACTTATTTGACGCAAAGTGTTGTGATTTTAATACCTGGCAAAAGATGCGTTCCAAAAGCTAATCAAAGTATTACTAGGCATGGCACGTGGAACTAGAACAATGTACCCCCGTGGACGAAGTAAATGATTCGGTTCAAATTCCAATCACCTGAAGAAACGCGTCAGTCGAAACGCCATAGATATGACAATGATGCTTGAAATCTTTAAAAAATTGTGGGTGAAATGAAACAGTAAGTAGTGACCATAAACTTTTTAATATTAAGAAGAAGCCTCATAAAAAATATAAAAAAAAAAATTAGCGAAGAACGCACGAAAACAACTGACCTATTTATGTCAACAAGTCTATTAAGAAGACCGGTGTAGAATTGAAAAGATAAGCTGTCACTTGATCGACGACCACGACAAGGAGATACAGCTGAGATAAAGATGCAAATAAAATGATAATTTTCATAGGATGCCAGTAAAATCGGTTGAAGAATTAAATTGTTTTGCTTATAGCTTAAGCATTTATTGATTAAGTATCGATTAATTTGAGAGTGTAACCCGCGATGAATTCATCCATTATTCCGGTCTGGTGATCTTGTGTGTCTGCCTCCTTCCCTCGTCTAACCGATCTTTTCTTTTGCCTTTAGGCCACTTAGAGTTCGCTCATCCTTGCCTTGTTCTTATCTCAAATATATTCGCTCTGGGCGCATATCAACAGCCGTTATGGCGCTAGGCCACGTGATGAAGAATTACGAGACAAAGGTCGGTGTATCATCCAATCGAACACTGTCTAATATATTTGAATTATACTATTCATGTATAGCCTGTATAGAATGAACGTAAAGAACGCCTAATATATAAAGATTATAAATAATAAAATGTAAAGAATAAATGTGCTGAGTGTTGCAGTGCGTAAAGACTTCTGGATACGATGTATTGACAAAGTCTTATTCATTTACTAATGAAAAGGAGATAGATAGATAGATAGAAAAAGAATGAGATAGATAGAAAAAGAATGAGATAGATAGATAGAAATGAACAGCGAGATAGATAGAAATGAACAGCGAGAGGTATAGATAGATAGATAGATAGATAGATAGATAGATAGAAAGAAACAGCGAGAGGTATAGATAGATAGATAGATAGATAGATAGAAAGAAACAGCGAGAGAGGTATAGATAGATAGATGAATGAATGATAGATAGATAGATAGATAGATAGATAGATAGAAAGAAACAGCGAGAGGGATAGATAGATAGATAGATAGATAGATAGATAGATAGATAGATAGATAGATAGAAAGAAACAGCGAGAGGTATAGATAGATAGATAGATAGATAGAAAGAAACAGTAAGAGAATAGATAGATAGAAAGAATCAGCGAGAGGTATAGATAGATAGATAGATAGAAAGAAACAGTAAGAGGTATAGATAGATAGAAAGAAACAGTAAGAGGTATAGATAGATAGATAGATAGATAGAAAGAAACAGTAAGATAGGTTGATAGATAGATAGAAAGAAAGAAACAGTAAGATAGATTGATAGATAGATAGATAGAAAGAAAGAAACAGTAAGATAGATAGATAGAAAGAAAGAAAGAAACAGTAAGATAGGTTGATAGATGAAGAAAAGAAAGAAACAGTAAAGATAGGTTGATAGATAGAAAGAAAGAAACAGTAAGATAGGTTGATAGATTGAAAGAAAGAAACAGTAAGATAGGTTGATAGATAGAAAGAAAGAAACAGTAAGATAGGTTGATAGATAGAAAGAAAGAAACAGTAAGATAGGTTGATAGATAGAAAGAAAGAAACAGTAAGATAGGTTGATAGATAGAAAGAAAGAAACAGTAAGATAGGTTGATAGATAGAAAGAAAGAAACAGTAAGATAGGTTGATAGATAGAAAGAAAGAAACAGTAAGATAGGTTGATAGATGAAAGAAAAGAAACAGTAAGATAGGTTGATAGATAGAAAGAAAGAAACAGTAAAGATAGGTTGATAGATAGAAAGAAAGAAACAGTAAGATAGGTTGATAGATAGAAAGAAAGAAACAGTAAGATAGGTTGATAGATAGAAAGAAAGAAACAGTAAAGATAGGTTGATAGATGAAAGAAAGAAACAGTAAGATAGGTTGATAGATAGAAAGAAAGAAACAGTAAGATAGGTTGATAGATAGAAAAGAAAGAAACAGTAAGATAGGTTGATAGATAGAAAGAAAGAAACAGTAAGATAGGTTGATAGATAGAAAGAAAAGAAACAGTAAGATAGGTTGATAGATGAAAGAAAGAAACAGTAAACAGGTTGATAGAAAGATAAAGAAAGAAACAGTAAGATAGATAGATAGAAAGAAAGAAACAGTAAGATAGGTTGATGATAGAAAGAAAGAAACAGTAAGATAGGGTTGATAGATAGAAAAGAAAGAAACAGTAAGATAGGTTGATAGATAGAAAGAAAACAATAAGAGGTTGATAGATAGAAAGAAAGAAACAGTAAGATAGGTTGATAGAGATAGATAGATAGAAAGAAAGAAACAGTAAGATAGGTTGATAGAGATAGATAGATAGAAAGAAAGAAACAGTAAGATAGGTTGATAGAGATAGATAGAAAGAAACAGTAAGAGAGGTTGATAGAGATAGATAGATAGAAAGAAACAGTAAGATAGGTTGATAGAGATAGATACATAGAAAGAAACAGTAAGATAGGTTGATAGAGATAGATAGATAGAAAGAAACAGTAAGATAGGTTGATAGATAGATAGATAGAAATAGAGATAGGAAAGAGATAGATGAAAGATAGAGTAAGATAGTTGATAGATAGTTAGAAAGAAAGAAACAGTAAAGATAGGTTGATAGAGATAGATAGATGAAGAAAAAAACAGTAAGATAGGTTGATAGATAGATAGAGAAATGAAACAAAAATAGGTTGATAGAGATAGATAGATAAAAAGAAAGAAACAGTAAGATAGGTTGATAGAGATAGATAGATAGAAAGAAAGAAACAGTAAGATAGGTCGATAGAGATAGATAGATAGATAGATAGATAGATAGATAGATAGATAGATAGATAGATAGATAATGGACAGACTGAAATAGAAATAAACAGTGAAATAGATAGAAATGAAAAAATAGATAAATATAAATGAACCGTGATATAGATAGAAAGAAAGAATAAAAAGAACAGTTGGATGGATAGATACAAAGGGAAAAGTAATATAGATAGATCGATAGTGATAGATAGATAGATAGATCGATAGTGATAGATAGATAGATAGATAGATAGATAGATAGATAGATATGAACAGTGAGATAGATCTCAACAAACGGAGAGGAAACTGAAGAATGTAAGACATAGGAATATAGATAAATAGATATATTTGTATAGACTAATATATTTGTATCCATGCACATACACACACATATATTATTTCGATAGTTTTCTTTAGTGGATAACCGTAGTTTAGTAGAGGCTCCGTTTATTTTAAGCAGCATTTATTTCGTCTGTCAGCTTGCGTATTCTTGAAGAAAGATATTTACCGTCTGATCTAGCGTTTTTTTTACCGTCCGGCTACAGAGAGCTTCACGATAAAGCAAGGTTCTACTTTGGCTTTCAAGTAAAACTAACTCGTCAGATTTTTCTCAAAACTCATATCTGCTTATTTTGGTATCCAATGTAAAAGTAAAACAATTTGAAGCAAGAAAATATGTTGGATTGAAAAATAAACTATATTAATTCTTCAGTGAAACACACACACACACACACACATATATATATATATATATATATATATATATATATTTCCTTGTTCATCAGGTCACATCTCTAGTTACTAGTGATGTAATCTGATGAACCAGAAAAATATATGTTCTGGGGAAAGAAATTATAGTCATGGAAAGTTAACCTTGTCTAGTTCTTAAATATTTAATTAATATTTGCCCTGGTTTTACATTGCGCTCTCTGGATTCCATCCTCTTTGGAATTATCCACAGGGATTACAAAACCCTACATTACTTTACAATATATATATATATATATATATATATATAGGTAAAATGAGAAAAAAATGGATAATTATAATTCCACTGTACGTATCATTTAATTTAAAATAAGGCTCAATAAAGAGTAGAGCTAACTATTATTTATATTAGGGTATTAAAACTTTTAAAATTCGCTACATACTGGCAATTACTTTTCAAGACTACAAATGTGTTTGATCAGGCGATGTTGAACTACTGGCGAATGAAAGATTAATATTAATTTCCAAAGCAGAATACTTTTAAAAAAATAGGCTTGTGCACTTTGCCTTGATTAACCAATCGAATGTGACCTACGCAAAATTCAAATTCACCGAATTGTTTTTTTTTTAATTTAGGTCATGACCTGAAGTTGTGTGCCTATAAATACTCGACAATTTTCTTATGGGCAGATATAAGTTGTTACATTATTTCGTAACATGTAGTAAAGTAACTGTTTAATAAACTTAAGAAAATTATCAAAGATAGCATCCATTTCAGTGTACATACGTTAGATGAGTCCTTTTATCGTCTCCATTTAAATATCAAGAATAACGACAAAATCCCAGGTTAAAATACCTTTTTAAAATAAATTCACACATTTTTAGTTTTAAACAGGAATTTAGGCATACTCAATTAATAGAGTTTCCACAAAAATTCTCTACAAACCCTCTACAAATCTAATCATGGCAAACAACTAGAAGTACAAAACGGATAGATTTTATCAGTAATATAAGGAGATGCATTAAATAAATCACACTTGATTTTTTATTTCTCGTTGAAAAAAGGACACAGCGGTGTCCAAAAATTTCCACTTTTAACATCTTTCTTACCATGCTTCAAGTTGATCAACAGGTAGACTAATATACAATGTTATTATTTTTGTTATCAATAGTATTATTTTTGTTTGTTTTTAATATTTCGAATTTATTTAATCGGGCAACTATAATTACACAATCTTCAGGCAATGTTATATTTACACACGCTCTATCACTGATAGTACCCATAAATATACCAAAAATTAATACTATATCTTTATAACATATACACACACGCACGAACGCACACACATATATTTCATCCTTGGAAGCGAGGTCTGATGATCTAGAGGAAAAGAAAATCTCTTGTGAAATAAATTATAACAATGGAACCTTAAAATGGTCTGTTTTTCTTAAAAATTATATAATATATATATATATATATATATATATTATATATATAAATATATATATATGTGTGTATTTATATATCCGTATATGTATGCATGCATATATATACTTATAAACATGTAAAACACACACACACATATATATATATATATATATATATATATATATATATTTAATGAACAACAGACACTTCAAGGTACCATGACAATAAATTATTTCACCTAAAATCCTTTTTTACCTCCTTGGATTTACCAATTCGGTTTACCAAATTCTTCAAACTTAACTATATATATATATATATATATATATATATATATATATATATATATATATATAAGTATGTATATGTATTGAAAGTTAGAGAGGCAATGATGGATACATAGAGAAAAGGATGAAATCGTAAATAATGTAAATCTGGTCTCTAATAAACGCTAAGAAAATATTGACGGCCGAAGAAATCAAATTAGTCTTTGATAGAAAGTAATGGAAAGGATAAAAGCAATAAATAGATCGGAAAACAATGATGAAACGTTTAGGAAACCGTGGATAAAAGAAGATGTAGAAAGATCCGTATATTCGCCATTTCATAAATAGCAGTAGTCTTCGTGTTCTTATGTATTTTCATGTATTATTATTATGTAAATCTGGTCTCTAATAAACGCTAAGAAAATATTGACGGCCGAAGAAATCAAATTAGTCTTTTGATAGAAAGTAATGGAAAGGATAAAAGCAATAAATAGATCGGAAAACAATGAAAACGTTTAGGAAACCGTGGATAAAAAAGAAGATGTAGAAAGATCCGTATATTCGCCATTTCATAAATAGCAGTAGTCTTCGTGTTCTTATTATTTATGTATTATTATTATGTAAATCTATTCTAATAAACGCTAAATATTGGTCTCGAAGAAAAATTAGTCTTTGATAGAAAAATGGAAAGGATAAAAGCAATAAAAGATCGGAAAACAATGAAAACGTTTAGGAAACCGTGGATAAAAGAAGATGGAAAGGATAAAAGCCATTTCATAAATAGCAGTAGTCTTCGTGTTCTTAGTATTATTATTAAAACTAATAAATGAAAATATTGACGGCCGAAGAAATCAAATTAGTCTTTGATAGAAAGTAATGGAAAGGATAAAAGCAATAAATAGATCGGAAAACAATGAAACGTTTAGGAAACCGTGGATAAAAAGAAGATGTAGAAAGATCCGTATATTCGCCATTTCATAAATAGCAGTAGTCTTCGTGTTCTTATGTATTTTCATGTATTATTATTATGTAAATCTGGTCTCTAATAAACGCTAAGAAAATATTGACGGCCGAAGAAATCAAATTAGTCTTTGATAGAAAGTAATGGAAAGGATAAAAGCAATAAATAGATCGGAAAACAATGAAAACGTTTAGGAAACCGTGGATAAAAGAAGATGTAGAAAGATCCGTATATTCGCCATTTCATAAATAGCAGTAGTCTTCGTGTTCTTATGTATTTTCATGTATTATTATTATGTAAATCTGGTCTCTAATAAACGCTAAGAAAATATTGACGGCCGAAGAAATCAAATTAGTCTTTGATAGAAAGTAATGGAAAGGATAAAAGCAATAAATAGATCGGAAAACAATGAAAACGTTTAGGAAACCGTGGATAAAAGAAGATGTAGAAAGATCCGTATATTCGCCATTTCATAAATAGCAGTAGTCTTCGTGTTCTTATGTATTTTCATGTATTATTATTATCGTCTGTTATTTCGTTTTAAATCAATTCAAGAAGTTATAATTTTACAGTTCCCGGAGTTTATTCTACTATTCTGTGTAGGGAAATGCAATTTAACTCTACTGGTAATGGTACACGAACTTTAGATGAAAACTTGCAAACTGTTTTTTTTTATAAATCCTCTTAGATGATCGTGTTTGCGACTCTTTCCTTTGATGGAGTCTCCCCTGAGTGCGCTCTGACCAAAGACAGAGACGCAACTGAGTGATGATAAATAATGTGTTACATACTACTCGAGAGAGTAATTTACACAGTTTTCCTATTAATTATAGTCGGCAAAAAATTAAATGCTGCATCTATCATCGTCTTATTGAACATTGTCTTCATTTCTGAGAAGAGGTGTTGTAATTATTTACATTGCTTACATTGTTCCGAATGTTGTCCTCATCTTTGTTACCATATTTACGACGTTTCGTAAGGAAACATGGCCCAGTGGATAAAACAGTTGTTTGGAAACAGTAACCTGATCTAAAGAGTTGTGAGTCTAAAATCTGGCTTCTGCAGTGTTAACCCCCCCGCAAAAAAAAAGAAAAAAAAAGAAAAAAAGGACATCTGAAAGAGGCATAGGACGTGGAACTAGATCAATCTACTCAGGTGGACAAAATAAAGGGTTCAGATTAAAATTCCAATAACCTGAAGAAGGCCAGAGCGCACAACGGCCGAAACGTCGTGAATATGGCAATAAAGATGAAGATTACATTTTTGAATCCTATTAATTTTAGTGTACTTTTTCGTCAGTAAAGTTTTCTGAGTTTTTCTTCACTTTTTTCTTTTATCCTCAATAATCTCTTGCGTCTTAGTGGATTTATTACCTTACTAGATGGGAAATGATAAAAAATTGAATTTTTGTTAATTTTCTTGTAATAAAAATGTAATCTATTTAAAGACGTTAGTTAACTTTAAAGAACAAATGCTAAAGACACAGTTTTAAAATAAGTCACAGAATGGTGCTAACATCGGAGAGAATGGAAACCAATCAAACTGCTCAGCGAATATAAGCTCATACTTATACCACACCTGCGTCTTTTGCCTCATTGGACTCGTAGATACAGAAATGTTGGCATGACGTCAGTATTTCCCCACTAAACGTACCATCAGAGGTTAGCATGTCCATACGATATCGTCTTCAGAATGTACGAATAAGTCTATTTTAACAGAGCATAAAAATATCTATTTCGATCAGGCTTATTTCAATAGGTTTCAGTCCGTGTCTTTTCCATTTCTACCTCGAAATCTAATAAATGTTTACGAAAGCCTTTATTTGCAAAATTCGAGTATATCACAATACACGTGATTAGAAAAAAAAAAATCTTTCCGGGTGAGGATAATAACATAATTATGAAATAGTGCCACATGGAAAATTTAAGAAGTACGCCTGTAAAATAAATTACTCGCGACAAAT